TACACGACTGAGTGACTGCCCTACTCCGGCAGTGTCTTTTTCAGGCGACTGCGGCCGTTGGAGGTGAGATGGTCGTGGCTCACCGACTTGTGTTGATCGACATTTGTTTCCAGACCACCCACCGATTCGCCTGGAACCAGTAATATGGAGGTGACATGCGGGGGAGAATTCAGAAATATGCCGACTGCATCCTGAAATTCTCAACCGGCGCGACTGGGAAGTCATAGATCGTTGTTGGAAGGAAATTGACTTTTTACAAGAAAGTTAAGGCACCATGGCAATTCCGAAACGTCATCTTGCCGCACAGATTCCGGTGCAGGGGCTGCAGTTGCTACCGTCGTGGCGGCCACCACCATGGGAAATGTGGACGAGGAGGCTGCTGCACTTCCCTCATAACCAATGATTTTGACTCAGCAAAGCCATTTGGACTTGGTTTCAATCTTATTCAGCCGTTTGCTTGCAGATCTCATTAAAGTTGATTGAATCATACCATATCATATCTTCCAAATTATTTGTTTGTTTGATTCTTCCTTCCCGATTTCTGCAGGATGATATGGAATCCTATTGGGAAGAGGAAGAGGAAGAAGAAGGGGACTTCGAGGACATGGAATGCAACCTTTCTTGCGGTGTTTAGTGATGTGGGGAGCACGACCGTAGCATGTGCTTGTGGAACAAGGACGGATTCTACAGAAGTTTATGAAGTCAATTAATTGAGACCTGGTCGGATTTGTAAACATCCGTTTTTGCAGCTAGCGGTGTCCCCAGTTGATTCCATGTAGAGAATATTCACCCTTAGGCCGCCTTGATTCTGCGGAACACAGCGCTTGCCCAGGATTGGTGCTCACATCACCTTATGAGGTTATCCCATGGCAACAACCATGTGCAACTACATAATATTACAAAATACTCTCATTGGAGAGAGCCTGTTTTCAAAACTCAAAAAGGGTAAAAAAGCGTCAACATAGTAGTCGGTGCCAAAAGTCAAATCAGACAGTCTCAACAAGTGAAAAGAAGTCAGTTGGCCCTGATCCGATTTATTTTTTTGACTGTTATTTGACTTTTTAGACGTGTTTTCCTACTTTTTGATTTGTTTTTGACTTTTATTTGACATTTATTGACTTCTCGATGTGTTTTCAAATGTTGTATTTGTTTGACATGTTTCCAACATTTTGCTGACTTCTTTTTTGACTTGTTCGAGTTGTTTTTTAGTTTTGACCATTTTTGACATGTTTCCGACGTTTTTATTGTTTAACTTCTGTTTATTGACTTTTCAATTGCTGCATTTTTCGACTTTGACTTTTCCATTTGACTTTTTGTTTTTGTTTTTTAAATCAAGGGATCCTGGCCTTGCCATATGAAAGTATTTTATAAACACTAATATCTAATTATATATACATATTTTTACATAACTATCCATCCTATCTCCTGCTATTCCAGTATGCAAAGGGTCTCGCTCCTGAGTTTTGCCAGGATGACCCTGTAGTCGAGCCACCACCGGCGAAGGTTGGGTCGAGCGATGAAAGAACATCAATTGAGTGGAAATGGTTTTGGCGACGACGAGTAAAAAGACCAAGTCAAAGAGTAGAAAGTAGAAACAAACATACTGAAGACCAAGTCACAAGAAAACCAAGTTGAAAGAAGACTGAGGGGAGGGTGAGTGATACTCAAGTTGCTATGACTCAGACTGCCACCCGTCCGCCCCTTGAAGGCTACGCAGGCAAAGAATCCGCCGAAGTGATAACGTCTTGGCTCTAACACCGCATCGGCGAGTGTGTGGCAATGTCCGTGCTGAAAAGAGAGAACGGTGGAGGCCATTCCTATTAGGTTGGAGGCCATCGCTAGTAGTTGGAGAAGTCTAGTAGTTACGTCATGATCAGTCCAAGACCCAAGGCGAAACGAAATAATTAGAGGAAAGAAACAAAAGAACGGAACGAAAGAAGTTCCAGCGGTTTAAAAACATCAACATTTCAAAAAGCAAAGCACAATTCAGTCGTTCTTCTTGATACTGTAAGGGTATTTAAGTCCAGGACCCAAGGGGACCGTTCTTGTCAGGAGAGGTTGCTTTTTTTCCAACTGTTTGTGCAGGTCTCAGATGTTGCCTAGTCCTGTGCCACTCGTTGATGTGCAGAGGAAACATCACGGTGCTTGTATGGGTTTGGGAGGAGTGTGCCCTCACATTTCCCACACTTGACGAGCTGGATGACTCGTTGGTGATTTGGCTTCCTGCAATCCTGCTTGTGCTTTATCCCATTTGATTGCGTTGCCCAAAGAAATGCCTTTAGAACAGATACAATGTGCCCACACTTCTGGCAAGCAGGCTTTGCAGACTAGCCAAGTCTTGTATCACCTTGACCCTGCGGCGGGTTTCGAGCTGGGCAAAGAAGCCTGGGCGGGTGCAAGACAGAACACTCCAGTCAAGCTGTGAAACGTGTGCTTGTCTGATGCAAAGCTGTCACGAGAAGTATCTGCCTGCAGGCTCCCTTGCTTTAACCATGCATCTGCAAAGCAGAGGTGCTTAAACTTATCAATGGAATCAATGGTTGTGTCCCAGTCAGGCAGCCATTGGGTTGCCTGCTCTGGGGCGTTCCCAGTTATCTCAGATGAGTGCGGAAGCGAGTAAAGTGCCACCGCTGGAACGAGGTTGCAAAGTGGATTTGCTAGAAAATCAAAGGCCGGAATCATAGCAAGATGAAACATGAGAACCCACCACCATCGAATGAGGGCAGCTTGAGTCAAAGGTACATGCGAGCATATATTGACGTCTAGAAGAACACAGATCAGATCTGTAATATCACATGAAAAGAAGTCAACCATGTAACATCCAACTGAGAACTTGGTGAGATTACACTGTCAATTGATGCCGTTGCAGCGACTTCCCCGCCTTAGGCAGCAACAGCAACTGAGAGTGGATATTTTCCATCGCATGAATTGAACCTGCTCAGAGAGCGTCTATCTAAGTCTTGACAAACCAAGCCAAGCCAAGCTGACAAGTGGAGGAATAGTGTCGAAAAAATTGTATGAGCATGCGCAGCCTGAGCTTGCAAAAAGGTGATGTCAGCGTGTGGACTTGATGACATATCACTACATTGAGATCTTTTTGCATGTGTTTTCTTGTCCATTTTTCAGAACTTGATTTTGCCAAAGATGGCAGCTTTTTGTAGGAATTGTAGGAAGCTAGGGGTTTGCTCAGTCGTTGCAAATCATACTTTCTCAAACAATTCAGGGCTGTTATACGGGCAGGAGGATGATCCTTTCCTACAGTTTATCGATCGCTGGTGCCTCGCCCCAGTTACGAAGAACAAAGCACTCTAAAGGCTTTGAGACTCTTACGCGCTAACCATACCCTGCAGGGGAGATAGGGCGATTGTAGGCCAATGCATTCAAGAGATTGATGAGACAAAATGCGTTTGTCAACCCTTCAGGTTTTGAACCACTTAAGACATGACACGTCTTAAGGAGCACCAATGGCGGCCTGTTGTTGGGCTCTGCCATTGCAATTGCCCTGGGCATTGGTCTCGAGGCTTGTCAATGAAGTCGCTCATAGGTCAGCTTGGTGATTTTAAAGCCAGCCGGAAGATGAGTCTTAATATAGTCAACCTGCTCTCCCTGTCTGCAAGACGAGCTGCTCCCACAAAAGCCGTTTGAGTTGTCAGTTGTCAGCCAGTGGGTATTTGCAGTAATCGTTGGCCAGAAATTCTTCGAGCTCTTCATGGATTGGACCAAGGCGGGGTATGGCTTGTTGAGTTTATTGGTTGCGGCATTCAAACGCAAAGAAGGGAGTCTTTCGAGTTGTACAAGTTAAAGTACACTGAAGACTCGGAAGACATTGGGACACGTCGGAGATGGAATCATTTGTGATTTTGGAGGGAATCATTCCTGTCTAAGGGTCTGCAGATGGTCTGCACAGCGGATTGCAGCTCTGCACTGAGGCAGGCATGGCAGTCACTTTCACATACTCGAGCCTTGGTTGCAACAGGGCAGCATCATAATTTGCATTCTTGGTGTTCACTGTTTTTTTCTTGTCATGAATGGGCCTGAAGTGCATCATGCTTTGATTTCAACACACAAATCAAAGATGAGGTGGATGTCACAGTAGAATGTCACAAGTCGATCAGCAGGGGTCCTGCCATAGAACAGAACAGCCTTTTTTTCGACGAATCATCAATCATCGGCGGAGATATACGCCCTTTGCGGAACACGTGTCAACACGTGTCCTCGAGGGCTGGATTTATGATCTGGCTGTCGCAGTGCCCTCCGACGGCTGGAGAGACTGAGAGATGTCTCGCAACGAAATCCTAGTTGCCATGCCTAAAGCCTTTTCCGGAGTGGCATTGCAAACTTTGCAACCTGGGCAGCGGGCATGTTCCTTTCATCCTGGAATGCCTATTGGAGAAGTATTTTTATTAAGGAGGATTAGAACATGATAAAACGAGGAGCACATAATGTGTGTGTTTTTTGGAACGCGGCCCTTTCTATGATCTTCTATGCAAGAACAATTTAGATCCGTTGGATCTTGGAGGTCACCCCTATCAACCCAAGCATCAACCCCATCTGGAAACGAAAGAAACGCAGTCAAACGGTATCTTTGTGTTTGAGTTCTTCCGGTAATGTATACAACTTCGAGATGCTGGGCGTAGCATGCTTACTACTCGCTTCCACAGCCCATCATTTCCCAGCCCTCATGCAGATCATGATACAGCATTTCGATTGACATGTGAAAGAGATTCTAGTCGATTAGAGTCCCTCTAAGTGTCATGAAGCGATATGCACACACACAGCAAGTGTCAGATTATGCCAGACCACTCTACTTGGGAAGTAAGGACAAACACAATTATGGACAAGAAGCTCCCGATAGCATTCAGCACCAATCATACAGGAACCTGAGGAGGCATACTCAAACGAACAAACCACCAAGCATTGTGGCAACGATCGCAGAAAGATTGTCCTAATTGGTTTGGAGAAGCTCCTGAGCATGGGACTATTACGAAAGGTGAGAGGCTATGATCGATCCTTTGAGGTGGGATGTTGAGCAGTCTTTTTCGGGAGCAAAACGCAAACAGCTTCTAGTAACTGGACGCAGGGTAGCTCACGCTTCTTAAAGGAAGCCTGCCCCGCCGCCCTAAAGGCGGCCGGGGGAGCTTCCTTGAAGAAGCGCTCGTACTTTTGGATGTGAAGACGAGTTGTGAAGAGGCGTTTTGATGATTCTGATGTGGCTTAGTTTAGCTCACCTTTGCCCAAGACTGGACAGGCCTGGCATGAATGGAGATGGCCTAATTAGGAGGCCGTGCAACTGCTTGACTAGTTGAGTTCTGTTCAGAATGCTGTCTTAATGTTCTTGGCCCACTCCTGGCATCAAAAGGCAAGCCATTGAGTCTTGAGAATTGAACCTGGTACTACCTGAAATGCCATGTTGCTTTGTTTCTGTTGTTGTTGCTTTCATAGTCTTTGTGTGCACTGTGCACCAGCTGCGAACTAGAAATGCCTTGGCCTGCTGAGCAGTGGCGAGGTGTATCGATGCATTGCCGGAAGTAAAGAAGGTTGTCGCAGGTGGCATTGTGGGTGCCTCAGATTGGTTAGCATTCTCTTCAGCCGCTCCTTTCTTGCCAAAAAAATGCCCAGAAGCAAAACAACAGCAACCGTCAGCTGGCAGCAACAAGCAGTAGCAGTAACCAGCAACCAGCTGGCACAATGTATGTCCCAGCCATACAGCTTTTTTTGATCATGTTCCCTTGTGTGTTGCACCCATGCCAAGTTAAGGCTGGTTGCGTCTCCAAGACTGCTGTAGCACCGCTGAGCCGTGTTACGATCTTGATGCAGGCACGCATACTACATGGTGAAGGGACAGGAGCCAATTCAATATTCAGCTCTACCTGGCTGCTACCAAATGATGCAATGTAGGATTAGGCCAATTCTTCATGTCCATTGTGCAATCAGTGTTGGATCAGTGCGCCCGGTCCAAGAGACAGAGCAGAGAGGGGTTGCGCACGAGGTGCAATCCATGCGGCCCCACAAGTTCGTCGATGGGAAGAATCCCAACAACCAGTACCGTCCTAAAGAAGCACAATGTAGACGTAACATGACGTAACGTTGGTGTTAACTCTTTTTTGCTTCCTTCGCTTTGCTTAGCTTGTTTGAGCAACATTACGTGTCTGCTCCAATCAGAGCCTGTTTTCTAGATGAGAGTTTCGTGAAGCCAATTAACGTTTCGTGCACAATCCAAGGTACCTATTTCAAAGTCTCAGGAACGGAGTCCCGTTGCTCCTACATGACGTGGTCCTGTGCTGATTGTTTCCCCCACAACCCACACATTCCGAAGAGGAAAGAGAGTGCAGACAGTGGCGAGGTTAAGACACCAGCGTACTTCCTTTGTACGTTGTTCTTTCTGTTGAGACTTTGGCTTGATGCTACACTTGATGCCCTTGTGTTGATCTCTGTGGACATCACTAGACATTGCATCGATTTGCGTTGCAGGAAGATTTACTTGGAGGAAGGCATCACCGGCTTCTGGCGAGGGACTGCCGCAGCTCCCGAGAGGGAGGGGCTTGGACAAACATAACCTAGAGAGACAATCTTGAAACACCCATAGATAGTATTACTGGGCATTGCAATTTGCAATCCTCGATTATACAAAACGACAGCACGTGCGAGATAGTGTATCATATCACTTTTTGATGATATTTAGTTGGCAGATAGCCCGCAATAGCTCCTCTCCACACTGAGTGCATCGTGCCCTGCCCGCAGGAATCTTGCTACATGCTTTCATCGTTTTCCATACACTTCAGCAACCTGGACGCCAGCAGAGACTGCGAGTATTCCGCTGAATCGGTGAACTTCAGATGCGATACTTTGCCCCCAAAACAACTCATTCCATGTCGAAGACGGCTGCAACACCTCCAATGTTCAGGAGAAATATGGTTTCTCAACGTGAATCATGTCGAGCGAATCACTTGGGTGACCTCAACCTTGATCCGTTGTGTCAACCTTTGTGCGGGCTTGATAGCATGCTTGCGTTGGCTCGCACGAGAGAGAGAGAGAGAGAGTGAAATCTTGCTGTTTGGAATTGTTTGGAACTTTGTGCACAAGCAAAGTGCATCAAGACTCAAGAGGGTGTTTACATGTGTTTACTGTGAAGATTCTTAGTTCATGTTGGTCCGTGGCCTAGATCACCTTCTATGCCAATGTGAAGATCTTAGATTAGCAGAACCACAGACAGCTGAACAGTACATTGTCCAGCATTCAGTCCATCATGTCCAATATCGAGTACAACAGAGCTGCCACATTGGTTTCCTGAAAGTCTGGCAACCATTTTTGTATCAAGATGAATTGAAATCCGATTGTGTCGCAAGACACCAAGGCCGCAATCAGAGAGACGCTGCAGCAAAGCTATTATGCCTCCAAGCTTCCAGACCAGGTGGAAATCCGACCATGCCATTTGTGCGAGACACTTTTCAAGCAATTGCTGAAAGCGTGTGACAGCTTTTGTTCCCCAAGCAGATTACTGGCTTTCGTTCTCGCCTTGTGAGGGCTTTGTCCAGGCATTGTCCTGGTCCGTCTGTCTTGCTTGTCCGGGTTGCCAGCCCTCTTATCACCGCCTGGTCTGAGCCTTGTCCCGTTTTCCCTTTCTCCACCGCCTATATTTTCGAGTGGCTATGAATGCAACAGTGATACAGCGTTTCGAATTTGATATCATTCTCGGATATTCTCATGACATATATCCTCTTGTTTTTGCACATGTGATCCGGGAATCAGGAGCTATTGTTTTCAAGCATTTTTTGCTTACATGCCATTTCCAAAGAGCTGGAGGCTATAGGAATATAACTAACTGTTACCACCAACATTGGAATTCAAGGAGTTGACGCAAAAAAGAATTGAAACTGTTTGGGGTCTATATGCTCGCATAGTTTAGTTCAAGTCTTGAAGCCTTGTTTTTGCATGTTTTTGCAACGGAAGGCAGCAAGCTGCAACGGTTTCATGTGCATATCACAGATTCTGGTTGGTTTGCTGAGCCTAAGACTTGGGGGACCGGACTAGTTTCACTTCAAACGGATAAGATTGAACTGCGCTTGTGACCAGAGCCGGCACTTGTTGGCGGGTGGTGGAGCTGCGTGTGCAGCGGCTGGGGGCCCTGATGGGTCAAGCAAGCTGAAGAATAACACATGCCATCTCTTTCATTTATATGCCTAGTGAGTGTAGTGTTGTGCTAACAGTAACATAGTATTCATTATCCTTCTTTCCGACTGCCCAACTAGGTTTGCACCCTTCACCCTTTGGATGTGATCAAGACTCGACTGATGGCGCAAACGTCAAGCCGGCATGGACAGCGGACGCAAACCTGCGAGAGAGCATTCGCTTTGGCCGCAGCATAGTCAGCATCAATAATCATCAATATGATTGTGTCATATCACGGTCATAGATTGGCAGCACCAGCTTCACCAGACACCGGCTTAGTCGCTATGTGCAACTGCGTTTGCCAGGCGCACTGAGTACTACTCCGGCATTATCGACTGCGCGAAAAAGATTTGCCGGGATGAAGGCGTTCGAGGCCTTGTTCTGCTTGGAACACCCCTCAAGAAGCAAATTGAACATCACTTGTCTTTCACCTTTTTCTGTAGCACAGTCAAACAGAAATGACGATTGAACACAGACGGACATTTGGGATGACCAACACTGTTTTGTAGTGAACATGTGGGAGCCGCTGTCACCATCCGATTGTCCATGCAGAGAACGCAAACCACGGCAAACTACTGCAAACTGTTTTTTTAAGCCGGGGGGTAGCCCGAGGTAGCTAGGTAGCTTGGACGCAGGATAGCTCACGCTTCTTCAAGGAAGCTTTGAAGAAGCGCTCGCACTAATGATTTGGTTTCTAGATTTTTAGGGAAACTTAACAATTCCTGGCTCTTGAATGCCAAATTGAATAATATTTGCTGCGTCATTGAATGCAAACCAGTTGTTGAATCGACGGACAGGTTTGTACAGAGGAATCAGCGTGTCCCTGTGCAGCACAACGCCCTCAATTGCACCTTGACTAATGACCAAAGCAAATATATTCGAATATTTGAAGACATTTTATGCAAGAGTCGAAGGCAGGTGGAAGGGAACTGGCATGGTTGCATTGTCTTTGCTGAACAAACTTGGGTTTCTTTTGAAAGTAAGTGCGGATGACAGACGCTGATGGCTCGTGTGGTCATGTTGTTTTCATGATCAAGTGCTGTAAGTATGCAGCCCCATGATTTTACTTGTGCTTGAACATTCTTCGAGTCAAGTCAAGTGTTTTACTTCCGAGAATTCCTTTGCGCAAGTGCCCACTGCAAACATGAAGGGCTTTATGATGTATTTCTGCAGCTTATTGCGGAAAATACCAAACAAACCAGACTACCAGACATTTGTTTTGCAGAGTGTAGGAACGTACACCTTCTTCATTTTTTGCCGAAATCGTTTGCCGACGGTAAACAAGAAATGGAAAAAGGGGGCATGCAAAGAAAAGAAACAAATCATTCCTACTCCAACGAAGCAACTGCTGCGTTGCATTTGGGTTCCAAAAGAAATTGAAAGATTCATGAGAAAGGAGGTGCAAGCGCATGACCATTGCAAAAAGGACCTCGTGAAGTGTTGTGTATTTCTTCTTCGATGTGGAAGTCAGTTGCAACCTGCAAGCAGAACGGGTCAAGAGGTCTGTGAACATGCCAACCCCAGTACACAAGATATTTCAACATGAAAGCGCAACCTGCATTGCAACATGGTTCATGGGCATTGTTTGGACTTTACTTGGTTGTGTTGAAGATACTCGTACAATTTCTTGCGCCGCATTGCCATCAGGCCATCAACTTCACAACATTTGATGAGTTCAAACGTCTTTTTGTCAAGCTTGGGTTGGAGCCAGATGCCTAGCCCAACCCGCCATTATGCCACTCAGGAACTTGTTCGAATTTCATGGAGAACTTCGTGTCAAGAGAGAATCAGTCCTTTTTGGTTGCCTTGGAAATTGGACTGCACCACATGTGCAGTGCATTGTGCAGTCTAAGCTGTTTGACATTATTCCCCAGATAGCGAAGCTATGGGGGTTCTTACTTCTCAATGGATGGGTTGCTGAATTGGCTGCCGCTGCCGCTGCCGCCTTGTTTCCCAAGCTTGTCTCCCTTCATGATTTCGCTTTTGGCTGCCGCTGCCGCCCTGTCTCCCAAGCTTGTCTCCCTTCATGATTTCGCTTTTGGCTGCCGCTGCCGCCTTGTCTCCCAAGCTTGTCTCCCTTCATGATTTCTCTTTTGGCTGCCGCTGCCGCCTTGTCTGTGAAGCTTGTCTTCCTTCATGATTTCGCTCTTGGCTGCCGCTGCCGCCTTGTCTCCCAAGCTTGTCTCCCTTCATGATTTCGCTTTTGGCTGCCGCTGCTGCCTTGTCTGTGAAGCTTGTCTCCCTTAATGATTTTGCTCTTGGCTGCCGCTGCCGCCTTGTCTGTGAAGCTTGTCTTCCTTCATGATTTCGCTCTTGGCTGCCGCTGCCGCCTTGTCTCCCAAGCTTGTCTCCCTTCATGATATGGCTTTTGGCTGCCGCTGCCGCCTTGTCTCTCAAGCTTGTCTCCCTTCATGATTTCGCTCTTGGCTGCCGCTGCCGCCTTGTCATTTTCTTGCCTGCCTTTGACGCAGATGCTGCTATACAGATGATTTAGGTCTTGTTTACCTTTTCCATCCTTTTCCCGGCTTGGAGTGGGATGTCTCCCAAGCTTGTCTCCCGCTCTTGCCATGCCATCCTTTTCTTGAAGTGCTATCTGGGGTCTATGCCGGTATAATTATTGTTTTGACAAAGTGTTTTTCTTATTTTTGTCCAAGGAGTTTGTCCAAAGAGCTATATTTCAATGCGCTTTCTGTTTTTGAACGAAGCACGACTTCTTTTTCATCCAATTGCCGTCGAATTGCAGTCGGAACTTTGTCCAAGGCCTGGCTGCTTTAGCCTGACGTTCTGCGCTGGCGCTTGTGCAGGTGGCGCCTGACGTCATGCATATGGCATATAGTGGCATATGATGCATATTGCATAGTTCACTTTTGTCCAATGCATTCGAAACGGGTGGATCACACGCACACATATGCACCAATATGCACCCGCGTGTGTCAAGAGAAAAGGTCAGTGTTCCAGTTCGCCACTGTGTGCCACTTTCTGCGGAATCATGTAAGATTGTAAAATCTATATGAGGATTTCCACCATTGGGTTTGATCAATTCTGGTTTTACTTTGTTTCTAACAGCTTTGCAATTCTCTACCATCCTCGGCTCTGACAGCTTAAACAAGCACAGGCAGCTTTGCGTCAATTGCGATGTTTCCCATGGACCTGGTGCGGCGGCAAATGCAAATGGTTGGCTTTTTGGATGCAAGCACCTGCACGCGCGCTGGGAAAGGGTCCAAGAGGAAAACAAGTTTTGAAAACAAGTCATGCTTGACATCAACCTGGGGAGTGCCGTCCATGCAAATACTGGGTGTTTGTGTGTTTGTGTTTGAAGTATTGCTTTGTGTATGACGTAGGTTGACCTCACACGATGACTGTAGCCAATCTGAGGCGTTGGCGGCCGGCCTTTGGTCTACACCAACGTGTGGCAGGCAAGAGATCCAAGCAGCGAAATCGATCTAAGTTGATTCGGGCGGCTGGCAGTCTAACGACTTTGCTGTGTGTCCAATAAGACTGACACGAAGTCAATGAAAGTCGTATATTTTGATTATATACTTGCAAGAGCAAGGACTCTACTAGGGGCTCCTGGCCTTACTACTAGGAACAAGAAGCTACTAGTAACAAGGGCATCGCTGCTATGAACAAGGACGCTACTATTGGACTCGCCATACACGATGAGCCTTTCAGGCAATCCGCCACATTTTCCTCACCGGTGTATTGCGGAACCAAGGCTGGCATTCAGCTCGGTGTTGCGTTTGTCACCAGCTGCATTGCCCACTGTTGGATGGAACATGATGGAATTGCTGAATTGCTAGAAATTGCTGAATACAAGCTTTTGTCGTCAATGGAGACAATCATAATCAGCGACAGAAGAACTGGAGATATGTTCTGAGTAACTGTCACTGTTGTGTTTGTTTTCTCAGGCTCACCAATACGATGGCTATTCGGTGCGGACTCAGCAGTTTGACAGTAGTGAATCCTGAGTTTCTTGGTATTTCTTGGTTATCTTATATTTGATTATATAAATTGCCTAGCATGTGAACAAGTATAATTTGTTTGAATCTCCCTCCAGCAAACATTGTGCAACGATGGAGATTGCTTATAGGTATTAGGTTTTTGCTTGCACGTTGTTTTGTCTCTTGACATGTTCATATTTCTTGCAATTCCAGCAAGTGTTTGCACCTTCCTTCCTTCATTGGTTCAGTTCTATCGTTGAACTTCTGTGCTCGTGCAGGTTTTCGCGAGTTCTTCCGGGGCTTGGCACCAGAGTTAATGAAAGTTGCGCCGCACAACGTCAAGCACTCAGCTTGAAGCCGGAGGGTCTCCTGTTTTATCGGTTGGTGCTTCCCGGAAACAAATCTTTCAAGCTCTTGCTTTCGACATCATCTCAGTATACCCTGGCCCTGGCCTTTGTGTTGCAATTTGTGCTACTATTCTTTGCAGTCGTTTTTGACCGGATGCAGAAACGATTGTCCAATTCAACTGAAGCGTTGCAGCCCATGCTCCTGGCCTGGGCTGTGGAAATCATAATGCTCCAACAGGGTTTTTGTTTCAACCCTGTTTCGTGACTTGGTTTGCTTGTGCCTCAGGCGATAATGTTCTCGACCCAAAACCATCTCATCAGCAGGCCTGACCTTGGTAGCTTTCGAAGCAGAACAAGGACAATATAACATAATAGACAGAACAACTGCAAGAATCGCACTTGCATTGATATCAAGTTGCTGTTGTTGGGATCCTTTTTGACACATCATCAACGGTAGAACTCTGCGAATAGAAGCATCCTCTTGTGTTGTTTCCTGTTGTTCGTTCGCCATCAGCTTTACATTTGGCCTAGTCCTTCTGCGTAGTGGGCCTAGTCCATATCTTATGTCTTCCATGCCAGGAAATGGTTCGGAGAGGAGCTTCTCTACCCAGACTGAGGGTGCAGCTGTTGCCCTCCAAAGCATTTCTGGGTTTTTGTCGTTGAGAGACATGCAGCTGGACACCACCAGCATGGCATGCATTGCGATGTGAGATGAGATCATGCTAGACACACGCTGTGCAAGCACAAAACGAGCAACGATGAGATCATACAAGGGCCAATGTGCGCCTGCCAGATCTTGTTTTGGGTGAAGCCTTGCCATGTTTGGCTGGTTCGCCATGCTACGCTGCTACACGAGCAAAAGCTGTGACGAAAAATACATAAAACGACAGAAGACACAACTGGAATCCATGGACCAATGGACCGCAGCGAAATCAGGTGGTCCGGTTGAACTGTTCAAGAGGTACCTTTGGCGAGTGGAGAACAAGCAAACCACCTACGCCAAGCAGCTCTCGAACTACGAGCAGGAAGAGTCGAAACGCTGTTGAGAATGCGCATTGACCGTTTTTTTGTCATTCAGTTTGTGCCAGTGTTTTGGCCTGACAGATCTACCTCGCGTGTCTTCCAAGACTGCCAAATCTGCTGAAGGGTTCTGGGCAAACCCAGGAGATCATGATCCGACGTCTCTCAGAGCTGACGGATGAGGAGATCGATGCTTTGTGCGAGGAGGCTTGAGATGATACTCTCCAGTTTGTGAATACCTCTAGCCGCTAGCCCAGAGCGCTTGACCTGCGACAGGGAACACTCAACTTTCTAGAATCGTATAACAATATCGTGCCGTCATAAGTCAAAGTTTAAAGAGGTGTCTTGCACTAATGCCATTTGCAAGAAATTGCAGGTGGGGATTGAGAACGAGGACGTGTCGACTGCATTGCAAGGAGATGACAAAATCAAGGCGACCTGAAGGTTTGGTCAAGGCTTGAGAGTTTGGAATTCATTTTGGGTGCCGAATGGCACAAACAAGAGAAGTAGTTGGGCATCCATTTCAGCCTTTGGTATGTTTGCTGAAGGTTGACTTGTTTCCGCGCTTTCTCAAGGCATTGTCCAAGAAGGAACAGATCCTGGAGTTGTTCCGCACTACTGAGATGAAGTCCAGCATGGACCTCTTGGGAGTGAGGGGTGAGCTAACGCAGGTAACGTCATGATTTCAACATCCTAGTAGCGTCCTTGCTCCTAGTAGTAAGGCCAGGAGCCCCTAGTAGCGTCCTTGTCGTGAGTCCTCAGTGAGAACTCTGCATATGTTTGATTCACAAACCAAACCTGTTGGCATGGGAGCCGTGGCAGCCGTGGTCTGTTACATTCTTTGCATCGACATATCAATTTCACTACCCACGGTGTCTGGAGTTGCAAGTACAAAAAAAAAACAAAGAAAAAGACCCTTGAGGCAGAGAACAAACGTGACCCGATTGTTTCTGTGGCGTTTCCCTTGGTGATCATGAAAACTAATCTCCCTATGATACTGTATGATAGCTACTAGGAGCAAGGATGCTACTAGGGGCCCCTACTACTAGAAACAAGAAGCTCCTAGGAGCAAAGGGCCTTCGCTACTAGGAGCAAGGACGCTACTAGGGTGATAGTGTATGACTTATCTGAAAAACACCTTGTCAACGCGTGCAGGACCCGAGGGCTGGGCTTCCACTCTTCAAGTGAATTCCCGCACAAATCGAGTGCACAGTGCTATGCTGCTTTGCACGTGGCGGTTTCGACCTTGCCTCGGTGGGTGTTTTGGGAGGCCTTGCCTCGCTGGTCCAGTTTTCGTCCCCCCAGCTCATGTAGAGTCCGTGAGGAGACCGAGAAGTCTACGAGGGAAAAGCACTGAGCTTCCAAGACACTCTGGAGGATTGCAACTATTCTACAATATTCTACATACCATTACTATTCCGTTATATACTTAATAGCTACTGGTATTCCAATTCTGGGGTAACCAACGGCGTCTTGATGATCATCTCGCAGCATCATGTTGCATTCACTTGTCTTTGCCTGCACAAGTGCACGACTCGAAAGAGATACACACAATTACACACACAGTGTCTGGTTGTGTCCCTTAGACTAGTGTTTCCTTCTGTGTATTTATTGTTGTTTTGGATCCTGTGAACACCTTGTTTGTTTTGGGTTTATGGGCAATCTCGCACAGTCTCGCGTGTTTTTTTGCAGCCGTGCATGGTGCCCTTGCGCAGTTGCGGCTCAATGTCAGTGCTCGAAACCTTTGAGACCAGGAGGATTTGTACTTCATGTGCAGAAGAATTGCCCAAGGAGAAGCTGGGTGGAAGCTTTTGCGCTCCTGGTTTTAGGATGTTTTGGGATGTTTTAGCTCTTTGATGGTCTTTGTGCATCCTATGCAACTAGCTCTCATGTCTTTCACTGGCGATATTCCGATTCCCTTTATGATCGTTTCTGCGCTTATGCACTGATAGCAGTTTTGTTAGTGTTGTTTGGTCTTGATCAACAGTTTATTTCCTTGTTGGCAACGGATGCTTTTCAAAGGGCCATCCGAAACTTGCGGATAACACCCATCAGTCTTGGCACTGACATCAATACTCATGTTTGTTTTTGGATGTTTTTGGGCATTTGGGCATTTCGAAGTGTTCTAGGTTTGAGAGTTTGATTTTGGTCCGTCTTGCAAGGAGCAGTTTTCCGGCTCACAATGGCGAAAGGAGAGTTCACGCTGTAAAAACTGCATCCGCACGACAAAGAATCCTCCAAAGATCACAGACTCAAGGCCTCCTCATCAAAGGCAAACTTGGAAAGGACAACCACAAGGTGGATTTCATGGATGGATTTAGGTCTAGGAGGTTTGATTGGGCTTCGGGTACTTGATGCAAATCTCCACCTTTGCCAGTACGTTACTTGGGGAGAATTTCTCTGAGACATGTTCTTGTTTGGCTGTGAAGTTGAAGGTGCTGATCCCAACGTGCAGATTGTTTCTTGGAAAGTCTTTCCCTAGATCCTCCATTTGTCGTTCTTTCTCCAGGCTTCTGGACTTTGTGGAAGAGTGCCAAAGGGCAAAGGAGCAGTACAAGCAATCGCAAACTCATGTAGCTTAGCCATACGGCCAGATGAGAGCAAACTCGTTTGCAGACTGTGGCTTGCCACCTGAGTCAAGTCAAGCTGTAAGGGCCCATAGGAACCACACACTGGTGTGAAAACATGGAGATTATTATAGGAAGGCCTTGGCGTCATTGGGTTGTTGTATCTGTCTTTGTGTAAGAACACCTCCTGACTTCATCTCCATTGTCATTCCGAACATTTCTGAACCATTCTAAGTTTGATATCATGAGTGGATGCAGGGACAACTGTAGACTTGATATGACTTGATGGTGAATGCATGTGACATTGCTTGCACACCTGTTCTGAAGTTGTTTAGAGAGGACGTTGTGCTGCCAATTGTGCTCTGACTTAGGTCGTGAGCGAAATTACTCCCTGGCTGTGCCTTGGCGGTGCATTGCAAGATGGTGCATGGCAGCTGGAGAAGACAACCCATGGGATTTGTGCAGCGTTGGAGCGAAATGTTTCGCCAGCTGCTTGGAAACAAACAGTTGGACTAATGAGCAATGCTCTTTTTGAAGAATGCACAATGCACAGGACCATTTTGGACACACTTTCTTGTGTTGCTTTGACTCCCTAGCGTAGCAAAAGGCCTTTTATCTGTCTAGAGTCTATGCAAAACATGCAGTGTGTGCTATTGGATATGCAACTTCAAAGCACCAAGGTCATGAAGAAGCTCGAGCATTTGCTGATCCTCAACCTTGAGGACAAAGGAAGCGAAGCAGAATGTCTTACAGCCTTCAAGATTGCAGTGGCATTTGCTCAAAAAGCCTTGGAGGAACCTGAATGTCACTCTGTCAGAAACTATCATATGTGGCTTTCCTTTCCAGTTTCAGTTTCATGATTTCTATATAGATTTCTCGATTGTGCTCCTGCTCTTGGCTGGTGAAATTGCTTGCAGCTTCAGTATATAGTAATTGCAATTTTTGCCAAGGCAAGATCTACGTGTTCTGTGCACTGGGTTGCAACCGCTCTGCCATCATTGTCATGGCACTTCTCATGGCCGTTGAAGGCCTTACTTTGGACGTCGCCCTGAAGTTGGTTCGTGAGAAGCGACCCGCAATCAGACCGAAGCACCAAGGCCAAAGGTTCAGACTTTTCCGTTTTTGGTAAACTAACAGGCACGCGACCAGAAGTCCTGGTCACCGAACCTAGATCAAGGCAATAATGACAAGTGTTTTGCTTGCTGAACAATTTCGTTCAGAGGCGGGCCCCCAGCTAAATGCAGTAAAACACAAGCTAGGCGCTAGTACAGCTCTAGCACCGCGCTAGCACATTGATGTATTCAATACATATTTCTATTATTGATTGATTTATCTATCTACATGTCACCAAAAGAGGTAGCTTTGAACTCACAGAGAGCCAGATTGATGGTTGTTCACCAGTGAAGCTTGAAATTGTGAATTGAAATCTTGCGAGTATTTAGCCCGCTCTTACTTGTAAGTAGGCGCCTACTTAATAAAGTAAGGGAGTAAGCTTTCTGGCTACTCAAGGTCAAGAGGAGACTCTAAAGGGGTTCTTATGAAAGGGTCGCGTGCCTTCACTTTTGTCCTTCTCAAAGTTGACTTTCTATTGTCCGGGGCTGCACCTGCTTTAGAACTTACATTGTACAGCTGGGACTTGTTTGAGGTTGCAAGAGATAGAGAGAGAGAGAGAGCGCATATTTCGGTAGTTTTGGTATGTTCTATTTGTTTGTACTCCGTGGTTTGTATTTGTTAGGTTCTAGAATATGAGTATTTGACAGAACTTCCGTACATCTACTTCAGGAAGGGCTGTCGAGCCAAATGATCAACAATTTGCAGAATCCATACGGACCAACATATCCTTCTTAGAAGTAATTTCAGCCCATGAAATGACTGGTCATACGGCTGATTCCTGTGAGGTTTATGCAGCTCGATCTACAGGTTGAATTTGTAGTGTGCCTTTAGATCTTGCCCTGTTCCGCTAGCAAGCCTGGCAGCATGATGTCACTTCTGAGAGCAATCTGTGTTTTTGTTGCTCCGTGGTGAGGTACATGCGGGTACTGGCCGACTTTGAAATTGAACTTGGACGAGAGTGCTCTCGACCAGAGTTTTTGGAAGCTCCAGACTCAAAGTCAATTGGGGCTTTGTTCTGAAGCTGGCCAAGCCAGTGTAGGACACCTTCTCAAGGTTTGAATTGATTGGAAGCTGCAGCCCAACCGAATGGTCGATGATCCAAAATAGTTACATTGTAAAAGTATGCAACAGTTACATGCTATATATATATAATCCTGTCCACCAATTTAAAAAAAACCTCCCCTTATTAAGAGAAACTCGGTCGCATTCTTTTTAATAGGGGGTCCCTGAAATCGGGGGGTCCAGAATAGGGTCACCTGGGAAGAGCTTCAAAACCAAAAAGTCATCCAGAAAAGTGTTATATAAAATCCTTGATTAAACTCGTATCAAAAATTCAAAAAACCTCCAGATCGAAGGGTCTTCCTTTTCACCTAAAAAACCTTTATTAGAATACTGATTTTTCACTAGACTAACAACCAAAGCTTTCGAAAGGTGATGTCGCTGTGCCATGCGGTTTTGCACGACCTCGGTGGCAAGTGCGTTTGCGAGAGTCCGTGCCATTGGAGGAAGGAAAACCTGCTGGTGTAAACGTGGCGTGTGATGGTGGATACACAGGGCGGACAGATGTGGGCAGTTACGGTTGATTTTGGAACCGAATAAAAGAAACTACCCCCAAAGTCGACCATGTTGGTAGTTTAGTAGCGGCTTGAAAGGGCATCAATTTAAAGCAAATTTAAACCGAACTTAGGGTTTCGGACGTGGTGTTTTTTAATTGGGGATGCTTCTTTAGTAGGTACTCGGGGTAAAACTATATATACATATATAACGCAAAAGGTGAAGGGAGCTGAATTCCAGTCTCGGTGTGACCATTGTGTCCGGTACCATGAAATACCAAGCAGGATCATTGTGCCGGATATCAAGACTGCCCTTTAGAGTAGCATCCCAAGAGTCGGCCCTGTGAGCCGCTGAGTTGTACAGTTTGGATCGAAGAAAATGCGAAGACTGGGAGAATCTTTGGAGACTCTTCAAGACTGCACAGTGTCTGAACAAACTGAGTGTTTCATAGAGTTGCTGTCAAAGCACAAAGGATACTTTGATAATTATACTTCCAGTGATTCAAGCGCTTGTTTTCAGCGTGTCAGAAGCTTGGAGGCCCAAACGGGGGGGGGCGTTCGGGCTTTGACCGATATGGCAAGTTGACATCCAGGACTGGCGACTCAGAAACAGTCAATGAATAAAAAAGAAACAAGGACAGGGATTTGGCAATCAGGCAGAGAGATGTTGCGATTTGCCAATCTCCCACAGGCCCCTTCGTGGGCCACGTGGCTGATGCCACAAGAGGCCTGCAGTGTAGCGGCAACTCTTTCACGTTTCTTCTTCACACATGCTCATCATTCATATGCATCAGGGTGACAGAGCAAGTATTCTGAGCCTGACTGCACCACTATTCCCTTCCACCTATTAAAACACACGCCTCCCGCTAATATTAAACTCCCCCAAATGGGATGTTCCCCAAATAGGATCCATTTAACTAGGAACCAGGGTTTCGGTCAGTCAGCTAGCGCTAAGAAGGTTTGGCAGTCAGCCAGACGGGCCAGCGCGAGTCAGTGGAAAATTGGGCAGCCAGACCAGCCCAGGAGAGTGAGACAGGTCTCAGGCAGTCAGAAAGCCCAGTCCATCAGCCAGCTGAGGGAGGCAGAGCCACATGCTTGCAGCTGCAGAAGGCAGCCAGCAAACCTGCAGGGAGTCCAGCAGAGCTCCAGACAGTGAAGTACAAGGTACACTGCCTGGAGAACAAGCTGGACGCGTACTGGAGACACGCAGCGGCACCTGGAGCAAGCAAGCGAGGCTGAGAGGTAGCAAGGAAGCTAGGCGCGAGCAGTGCGCCAAGCAAGGCCCCCCCACTCAACCCTCTTGCCTTTGCAAGCAAGCCTTTCTTTATGGTCAGGGCAGCCAGTAGAGCATGGCGCTAGAGGCAGGTTGATGCCCTCTAAGAAGGCAGATTATCGATAGATAGGACCGTGGCATGTTTGTGGGGCTGGGGCAAAGAATATCAATTTGCCTAGCCAGAGAGACGCAGAGAGGGAGGCAGCGGTGGGGTAGGGGTGTCTGGAAAAGTATACAAAGTTGCCAAGATGACCTGTGACCTGTGTGTGTAGTTTTGTAGTAGTTTATGAAGGCGGTGGCACAAAAGCAAAAGTAAGCTGTATTCAAGGGTCTCCGACGTGCGTTGTTTGTAGTTGGGTGTTTTCAAAAGGGTGTCCGGGTGTTCAGGACCAGTGTGTCAGCTGCTTTGTCTCAGACAAGGCGTTTTTTGTTGGTCGTCGGCATCGGCGCGGTTGTTGTAGTTTTATGTAGTTTTTATCATTCATCCTGATAACCAGCTCGCTGTTGGCTGCATGATTGGCTTGTGTTCCAAAACCCTCGCCTGTATGTGTTTTTCGTGCTGAACTCGTCCTTCAGTGTTCTCTTGGCATCTCTACGGCTCTATGGATTGAGTTTGGTTGCAACAGTTTGACAGTTTGCTGTATATATATTTATCTAAATTTATTATTCTGCTTAATTCGTGAGATAACATTCGCAAATGGTCGCACTTCCGAAATTCAATTTGTTGCTTGATTTGAATGATCTTTCCGCCTGCTTGGCCCAGTTTGACAGGTTTTGCAATTCGTGATTGGTTCTGCGAGGGGGCGCCTTACTTCCAACGTTGCCGTTGTTTGTCAGTGTGTGTGTATGTGTCTCGCTGCTGTTTTCTTTCCGTTCTTCTCCCTGTTTGATGTTAACCTGGTGTTGTTGTTGTTGTTGGGTCCGATTGCTGTGTTCGGCGCGCAGTACAGATGTTAAATCCCCTTATAAGTCGGGGTTCAGGGCCGTAATCATGGTGCGCGCAGGGTTTGTGACTGTGCCCAAGCCATCATATCTGGGGTGGGTGGGTATACTGCGTGTCATCAGATTCATAGAGTTTGTCATCAGGAGTATAGAACCTGTTTTCGGATGCAAAAGAATAATTTGTCATCGGATTGATAGAACTTATCATCGGGTTCATAGAACTTGCCATCGATAAACAAAAACGGGGTGGGGGGTTGGGGGGATGGCAATGGCAAGAAAATGCCGCGTCGGAAAGATGGGATGCCATCCTGATGCCGTCCCTTCGTGCGACAGTGTGAAAATGCTGCGGGCAGCAGCGAAAATCACGCTTGAAACTCCATGTGCAAACTGTTTTAAAGCATGAAACGCGTTGTTGTTGTTGTTGTTGTTGTTGTTGTTGTTTCTTTGTTTGTTTGTTTGTTTGGTTGGTTGGCTGTTTGTTTGTTTGTTTGTTTGTTGTTGTTCTTGCTCCATAATATCATTTGTGTGGCACAAGGATATGTTCTGGCTCAGATGCAAAGGACAGCTCTGGGCTTTGGGTAGTTCTGAGTTGATGTTTTGCGTTCATGGAGGTGTTCACTCTCGATTTTGCCCGGAACTTGATTTACAGAACGTATGTCGACAGTTTGCGCTTCCCAGATGCACCATCAGTTGACTGCGTCAATGGCAGATCTGGCCAACAGAGGAAAAAGTAAGTTCTTTTTTCAAAACTATGAAGACTCTTGCCCGATACTGTCTATTGCAGACATTTTTTCAGCTGGAATAGGTTTCATTCGCAACTTGGGCAGGGCTCGGAGCCCTTGAACTTTGGCTTGGAGCGAGAGCCTGAGCGAGAGACTTGCCATTTGCCGCGTGAAAATCACAAACCATTAGGTCGTACTAGAATCAATAGAACAAGAAAATTACATATTAAATCGCCGCATTTCTTCAACGTCACCTGGCAATCTGAGGCGGGAACTCACCTATGCAGGGCATTTGACGCCTGCAGTACAGCTGGTGCCCACTCAATGATGTTTTGACCAACTCTACAGCTTGGGGAATGCAAAGTCGTCAGAAATTCAAATAGCGACTTGCCCTTTGCACAAACAGTTCCATGAAACAAAATGGGGGAGCACCCGTTTACATTCTCATCCAGCTCAATTTGTCAGCCTCTGCAATCAAATGCAAACAGACACTGAGCGATGGTGGTGTTGACATGTACAGACAGTACCACCTGAAAGGTTTATATAGCTGTCCCACCACCTCTAGGTCCACCTCTAGGTCATTGATTTCAATGGCGCAGTCAACAGAGTGGGTTGCCTCCTCCTATCCTTTCTCAATATTTTTCAATTTCCTGTAGACTCGTTAGAACTTAAGTGCATATGATTGACATACAGTAACTTTGAGGGTCCTTAGTTTATATATGGGAATCGTGAACATGAAAAATAGATGACACATGCTGGTGAGGTACCCTTGGTCAAGCGGACCTTTGCTTCAGCCGATGAAACCCATATTCGAGTATGGGGTCCAGAGCCGCTGGCATGTTGTTTTGGAGTTTCATAGAGCTGGTTGTCGTATAGAGTTTAAGGCTTAAAGGGCGTAAATGGATTACAAGAGCTACTGGGGGCTCCTGGCCTTACTACTAGGAACAAGGATGCTACTAGGGGCTGATTGCTCAAATCGGAGCTTCTTTGCATAACTGGGTCAGGCTGGGGACTTGGCCAAGTTTGCTTTTCCTTCGAACCGACGGCTCGGCATCTCAGTCTAAGTCTGATGCTTCCGGAGGGTTTGTGCTTCAGATTTCTCGTTTGTGACTTGGAGTGCCAACCAAAGTATTTCTAGCTTTCCAAGCTAGGGCTTCTGTGTGCAATGATGTTCAATGAAGAGCATGTGCAAACCACACTGAAGGGAAAACCAGTCCAGTGTGATTGATCCACGTCGGTAGAGTCGTAAAGGATTTTTCTGTCGCTGCTTCGTTCCTCTTCCTTGGCCATTTATCCTGGGCAACTTTGCAGCTGCGCCCAAGAGCTGCCAGCTTGTGTTAGAGTCGAGATGTCGAGTGGCAAAATTGCTTCGTTGTGTCCAATTTGGTAAGGAGATTTGCTGTAAATACAGAGTGACCTCCACGAGCATTGCAACCTGTTCTTGGCTGTTCTGGACTCTGAATGAAGCAGTGCCCGGAAGCATTTCACCTACAACGGAAACTTCTCCTGTAGAATGCCAGGTTCTCCCTCGTGTGTTCTCGCTCGCCATGGGCAAAGATGATCCTTGACTGCATGTTCAGAGAAGGTATTGCTGTTAAGCCAAACCCGAGAGTCTCCTTCAGGAGTTTTCACAGCGGCCAATTCTTTCTGGAATGATGATGGATGCGAAAGGGTGTTTTGCATTGCCTCGGATCGCTATGCTTTGCTCTTTATGCCTTTCTGCGACCGTAAGGATGATCGGGATCGAGAAGATCGCGATGGTCGCGAGCGCGAAAGAAAAGAGAAGAAGGCAGTGATTTGGAACACCTTCAAAGAATTTCAAGTCAAAGAGTCGGGGTGAACCATCATGAATTTCCTGTATAGTAGATATTCCTAAGCTAAGCTGATGGTTTTTGCAACCAGTTCTTCAACAATGTCCTCACATTCATCTCGTTGAGATTTTTTTAAACCCACGTGCCACGTGGCTGTGTAGTGTTGTGTGGATATAGGGATTAAAATCGTGTTCCAATTCGATGCAGTGGAAGTCTTTGATTGACTATGATGCACTATAGTTAAGTTTCCCTAAAAATCTAGGAACCAAATGATTAGCACGAGCTATCCTGTGTCCATATGTAGTAGCGTCAAGTAGCTAGGAGCGAACAAGTTTCTCCCTCAATTGCTTAAAAAAGAGACAATGAGATTCACTAGTGACATGTTGTCACATTGACAACACCATCTTTGACTCAGTTTGACTAGGATTTACTGTACTGAAGGAGAAGAAGAAACGCCGAAGCGCCTCCTCTGAGTCGGCCGAGCGTAGCCGAGAGCAGGGGCACTGAGAGCACTCAGACTTAGAGCACTCAGAGCCTTCGACAAGCGGTGTTGGAGTAGAGGCTTAGAGGGAGTTTCTGATTTTCAAAGGGTTAGACAACGAATTCACCTTGTCTTGATGCTTGGGGTTTTGACCTTTCCCGTTTCGATAGGATCTCGCAACTGTTCAGCTTTGGATTGGACGCCTTCAATCATTACTTGGAGTCTATCATCCTTCACCGCAGAGTTAGTGCTCAAGCACACCCTTATCCGCCATCCATAACCTTGATGTAGAAAGGCCAGGTTTTGAAATGCAAATGCATCGAAAGCAACGAGTCCTGGGTCCTGTGCAGCAAATTTCGATTGCCATTTCTTTTTTGCAGTTGCTTTATCCAAACCAACAATTCTTTTGGTGGCCACCAGTTGTGCAAAATTGACACTTGTGCCGCCCTTCAGGCATCGGACGAAGGCTGGCTCTCGGAAAGAACTCATGATCACTCATCGCCATGCACCCTCCAGTTTTGAGGCTTTGAAACTGTTGTGAAAGGGACTGGGTGGCACTGGGTGGATGTTTTTGACAAAACATGCATTTCGTCATTCAAAGCGCAAGATTGGCTGCAGATTTTACTTTGTCTTGCATTCGCGCGACATGTGACAAGAACAAAAGCAGACGCAAATCATGACGAGCTTGACGCGCACAAACATTCAGCTGGCCGCTTTGCACAAGCATCCACTGTCAATTGCCTAATTACCGCTGGTTGTAATTTTCTGTTTATGTTTGTTCAAGCACAAATACGAAAGTAGCTAATTTAAGATCACAAAGGATAGTGTTTTTCCGGTTTTGTAGCCGCTTGTCATGGGGAAGCTGTGACGGAACTCATGGCCCATGGAAAGGGCCAGGAGCGGGACCTCTCAGCCTTGCATCATTCGTTTCGAAAGCCCCAAGAGTTTGCAGACATCAGAGAACTTGTAAACGTTGCTTAGGCAACGTACAAAGAAAAAAAAACACGCAAAGACCAGTTGATCCTAGGGTCCTAGAGATAGTCTGTATATGTTTGTATACCCCATGCCACTATTCCTTCAATTCATTGGACCAGGAGAAGTCACTGCTGAGCAGCCTGGTGTCATTTCTGCCGCTGGACAGGTGCCAGCAATGCGTTTTTTCGTGAATGCGCACCTGCTTTCGATCTGCACAGCTTCCAGTTGCACAAACCGCACATTTTTTAAAGATTGAAATCTAGTTCTAGGGTTGACATTTATACTCGGCAATGTGAGCAGTTGATTTGATGAGCAATGTATTCTTGACTTACGATTTACATGTTCCAATGCTTTTGCATATATTATATACATTGTCTTGCAGACAATACTTTGATTATCATACTCGCGCCAACAGCATCCTGAGATTGCTTTATTGATTGGCAACTCTGGATGTGTTTCGGTACTTGCCCACTTTAAGCAACAATGAGTGTTCAGCTGCCAGTGCAGATGATTGCTTGATGTGTTCCCTTGTTCGCAGGCATTTGCTTTGCTGCAATGTACAGCAACTTCGCTGAGAATCCAAAGCGACTGTGTTTGATTCTGTTTGAGTAGTACACCACGACAAGCATGTTCCGATCTTTTGCAAAAACAGCTCAAAACCATTCAAGACGTGTGATAAAGCCAGTGCAGAGAATGCAGATGACATTCTATGCTGAGCTACCCGACTAAGGCATGAGCAATCCGTAAGTGGTGAGATGAAGGTGGTCCCTTGTCCTTAAGTCTCACATTTCTTGGCCTCACTGCACTAAATCAATTGGACAAGCCCCCCTGGAGCCGTTCCTTCTTCTCAAATGATTTCAGTTTTTAACGGTTTCCAAAGTCGGCGGGAGTGTGAAGTTTGTTTCTGCCTCAGGTGGAACTCACTAGTGACGCAGATGTGCGGCTGGCGAATCCAGTTCACCTCTTGACCGAGCATGACTCCTTCGATGTGACAGTTACATGACTCAACTCTAGACCTCTTGTAGAGTTCATATGGTCATGCAGAAAATGCAAAGTAGTTCTACGATATTCCCGCACCTATCATTTATATCCTTCATACCTTCATGCACCATGTAGATCCATATAGTCTATCAACCTTTGATCAAACGGCTACAGTATAGTGGATCTCACTCAACTCTTTTCTTTCCGATGAGGTTTCACCTCGCGCTGGGGCCATGGGCGAATGGACAAAGCACCTGTCCATGACTCCACGGCAGCATGATTTCAGGCGCACACATCTGTACTCGACTCAAAAGTACAGCTCATCATCTCTGTTTCGTTGCCCTAGAGGTTTCAAAACCAGTCTGAAAGTCTTGTACTTTTGATAGTGAATCGTTAGTGGCACACGAGCACAAACGGTTTCAGCGTTTCAGGGACCGTATACAGCTTCCGCGGCTGCTGCGCTATCCGCTACCACCTGACTGTTTGGCTGATGAACCTGAGGAGAAGTGACTTTGACAGCAAATCAGAAGCCGAATTGAAGTTGGCTTTGGGAAAAGGTTTGTTTTGTGCCAGAGAGTGGAGGACATTCAACATGTCCATAGTTTGTTTGTCGCACAACTTGCTCAGGCGGCGGGCGACGCTGCTCAAGGTCTTTCAGGACCTTTCCGTTTCTACGACTTCTCGTGAAATGTTTTGGACATGATCTATTGAACATGGTCACTGTGGACAAAATGTGTTCAGTTTCAAAACGCATCTAGAAATGGATGCTGCTCCAATCAAGAGTGCTACTCGGTTGCTCTTCAAATTTCTCTACCCTTTCAGGATTTTGTCATGGACCTCAATCGAGGCATGCACATGACACAAATTAGCATCAATCTCAGCTGTACTATCTGGAAAGACTGCTTTGTGGTCAACTAAACAGTTGCATGCCGAACATGTCAACAGGAAGTGAAGCTTTTGATTGAACATGCTGATGGCTTCTACAGCCTCATGGTTTGTATTTTCAGCACACGAGTAAGCATGGTGAGAGATAGATAGAGAGAGATAGCTTGACTTTTGTGAGTTGGCTAAGGCTCCAGCCAGGCCAGCGGAAGTGATTTACATACTCTTGAAATGTGTGCGAGCGGTCCTAAGTCCTAAGCCTATGATTGGCGCAACTGCATGCTGAAGTCCACCAGGAATACTCCGACATTCACTGTCAGATTCTGGAGGATCTACAAACCCTCAAGAGCCTGGGATGTTAATCCAATGATCAACCATCTAAGCTTTTTACTTTAAACTTCCAAACGCTGAGCATTCCGGCATTGCTAAGGATCGATCAGGGCAGTGGCTGCATTATTGAGTTTCCACTCACAGCGGTTTCCAAGGTGTGCCTCGTTAAAGATTATGAGCGCCGACTTTCAGATTTGTGAGCGCACAGTCATTTTTTGAAGATTAATGTATTTAGGTCTATATAACGGGATAGAGTTGCTAAAACACGATCCACGGGCTCTCCAAAGGCGATAGACTCAACATCGAAGTATCGAACTGTTCGATAGAATCAAACGGTTGCAGGTCTTTGATATTTGCCATCATTTGGCGGTTGCTTTCATGGATGCCCTGTTCATCAACCAATATCGGGGCATTGAGGATGTCAAGCGGACACTTTTTGACCCAAGTTGTTTCTAACCAAAAGGTTTTATGTCCCAGTAATTTCCAATTTTTCCTATGTTGCAATGATGACCGAATGGTCATGTCACGTAGGCCTACTTGTCGTTCTTTTTTTTCGTGCTTAGGTACCGCATCGTGAAGAATGAC